CAGAAGGGCCTTGTAGTTGCCCAACTCGTCTTCGGTTGCCGTCGATTAACTGGAAGCCGGTCGTACAGAAACTTTCACTACTTCTCGTTTTGTTCGAGAAAATAAGAGTTGATTGCCGGTTGATTCCTTTGCCTCCGTAGACAAAACCGCACTGGACAGCTGATGCTTCGCGTACTTTTTTATTAGAAAATACCCTCGAATTACTAACTTCTTCGAGCTCCGCGGCATTCGGTTGACCTTGGAAGGTGCCTACTGCATTTGTAGTACAGCCATTCGTAACGCAGAACTGCGTTGGTACTTCGATCACTGGACGAACGCACAAATACCACAAAGTTATCTCTCATATATTGGTTTAAGGCCTTCTAAAATGCTGTGAAGGATAGAAACGATACACTTAGAAATTTCTCAACGACCAATTGTGAAGCCACTACCGAAGCCATAGCACACGAAGTTCAAAGCCGCATGTGCTCCAATAATTTTTAAAAGAGATCAATTACAACAAACCTCAAAAAAGTGACGGCAGATGAGGATGAATTTTTGGACTGAGCACATATGCAAAGAAGTGCAACATTTTGACGTTAAGGTCTGTACTTCACCCGCAGGGGTCTTGCAGATAAATGCATTGTGCCTCGAAGGCGCAGCAAGCTTCATTGCCCAGTTGATTGTTCTCAGGACGTAATGCCTAAATCTCTCAAATTAAGTCAGATATGTCTACCGAGCCGAATCGAAATCCCACTCAAGTATCACTATCCCTCCTTGTCTGTCTATGTCATGTGAACAACCGTATCTGCACCTTGAAATATCCTGTCGTTTTCTGGTTCGCTACGCGCTTGGTGTTGCATCCCCAAGATCCCTCTGCTGTATTATTCACCCACTTAGAATGTCAACAGTGCGTTACGCAACTCACTGATATGCGTTCCTGTATGCGAGCCATTTGTACTTCATACTTACGTATTATTGAACTTCTTTCACCGCAGTTACCCTGATTACACAAGGTACGTCATTAGGAAATAAAAAATTGTCCAAGTGATATTGAAGAATCAGGTACTTCGTGGCATCTGGCGTCACCCATATCTAAAAGTGTGAAGGTCGCGAAACGTCTTGCTGTTTGGAAATACCGCACTAAGATATGGCAAGTTTTCCCCACGAGTGAAAATTTGCAGAACCCATGCCGTTGAAAATAGGCGCTTCCATGAGTAACCGATCAATGACACGCCAGTTATCCCTCACCTTGCTAATGTCAGAACCTGTTAAACGCACGCTCAGGTAGGCGTTGCATCCGCAATTTGCTTTGGGTGGCGTGTACTGCTCGCTGTACAAGTAATTCTGAGATATCATTCTTGTATTATGAATGAGCGTTAGGCGGTGTTTCCGGTTTTCACAATTAATCCAGCCATACAATTTTGAAACACAGGCGTAATCAATGGTTATGATGGGGATACTGGCAACGAAGTCCATGTATATGCACTCCGTCCGTGACGCTTGCTTCATGTATTACAATGTTGTCCAGGAACCCGGAATATACAATGTTCTATGGCGCGAAAATATCTTGTGCTACGATTTGATGATCACGAAAATAACTTGAGGCCAAATTGTGCTTATGGCTTAAAGAATAAGATTCTTAGCTTATTTGAGGTGTGACAACTTAAAGCCATTGCGAAAACGACCTGGCATTCATCCAGATTGCAGCATTTTCCTGAATACTTACTGGTGGATGTTGTATTAGTTGCCCCAGGTCGATCTTAAGGCTGTGCAAAGAGACGCGTTATCACGACCACAAGGTGAGGGAGCACTTGCTAACTGTATTAAGTTGCATCTACTGCCGATCACCTGTTGACCATCGAGTAGGCGAGCTCTGTTCAAAGATTTATCATACCAGTTACCGGGCATATTTAACAACTAATTTTATTGCCACACATGGACGCAAAAAGTAAAGTGCTGTACCTTTGCTTTCAAAGGGGCAAACATCTTAGAATTCCACAAACTCTTCGAAGTTTGGGACTATCTTGCTCAATTAAAAACATGCGTTGTATCGTTTTAAGTACTAGCTTTCTTCTTTTCGAGAACGGTACAGCTGGTGTTGAAAAAATAGTGACCTGGGAGATCTGCTAATTTTAGACAAACTGCTGTCAACTTGAGGCTAGTAGACTGCTTTGACGGAATAAACATAAAACAGCTGAAGCCTTTAGAATCGGAGAGAAAATCAACTTTGAACTTCAAGCAATTCTTTTAATCCGCTGTAAAATGCATGTGTGTACTAAGTGTCTCTAATGCGTAATGTAGCAGTCATATTTACTTCAGTCGGTAGATGGCATACCGTCATGCATGATCGTGAAGTTTCAAAAGAATAAAAACATAACTGGGGGTTTGTGGGTACAGTGAATTGTGCGGAAATCGAGAAATGCCATAAAAATAGGGTATTATCCGATTTAGACGTGATCACCACCTGAACCGGCACGGGGAGCAAAACGTTACTGCTTTCGTGGGGGTAGTCTCGTGCTGAGGCAAAGTGACGGACAACAACAAAACGGGGAGGGTAGAACAAGAGGTGTTCTGCCTGACACCAGACATTGAAAGTGCGATTTTCGGAAGATGAGAGGCCCGAACAATGGATCAGATGAAGCGGTAGATTTAACATAATTTAGCCGCTTAATTTGAAGTAAAACCGAGAACCACCTCTCAGGCATCGTGGCTTTGTTTTTCCGGGCCTATGGTCAGGGATCACGAAATGAGTAGGTGAGGATGATGGAGCGTTTGGAGTAGTAATGATGGTAAATCGTAGTAGAAGTCTCAGTATCATTGTGTCCAAGTAAACCGTGGAGACTTGCTGGTCACACCATTGTGCTGTAGACGAGTGTGAAAGTTCCTCAGGAAAGTGATGACAACCCACAGGCCAGAATGCGAACTGTATAGAAAATTGTTGACCTTGTAGACAGCATAGACTGAAAGTTCACCGAAATGATTAAATAGGAACGAAAGGTCAAGTAGATAGAATCAGCGCGTTCTGGGTGAGGCTGAGGCCAGGTGAAGAGTTTAATCATATTTGCAGTTAACGGATTAGGTTGACTGGAGGGTGCGGTTGACAGTATAAATGGGACAGTGACCGGTGTACTGTGGGACTGGGTAGAGCACTACCGTGCTATCATTGGCCCGACATACGTTGATTATAGGTTGACTGGAGGATGCGGTCGACAGTATAAATGGGATAGTGACCGGTGTACTATGGGACTGGGTAGAGCACTACGGTGCTATCATTGGCCCGACATACGTTGATTTGTCGACAGCCAAGTAACGTACGTCATGTTTGACACCACTGGGCTGATGCGTGTAATTTTTTTAGCAATGAATTTTTTCTGGTTGGCGAAGGAACTCCGCAAAACTAGAACAAACCCCATGTAAAATCGAGGGTATTTCTTGGTCTAGTTTGGGGTTTCTGTGGACACTGATCTTAGACAAAGCGAAGTGGGGTGGATACTGGCTATACAAGGCATCCAAAGTCTAAGGTTGAAGCTTGAGGAGACGAGAGAATGGTATGGAATCGGTATGGCCATCAGACAGGGTAGTGTGCGTTGATAAATAGAGAATGAACACTTGCCGTAGACCGCAATTAAGTTGGTGACGACTAGCGATTAAATGAGACAGGATAGGGTTATATTTATACCAAGTACACTAGCGAAAAAGAAGAGAGTGAGTTTGTTAATATTGTAGTACAAGACATCTAGAGCAAACCGGAAAAAGCACGCAATGAGGTGGTGTGGACTGGAAAATTGAACGTTTAAGTAATGAGGGATGTGAGACTCCTGGTGACGGAATAGTTTACCTTGAATTCATTACGTGAGGTTGACAGCACCGTAATTAAGGAGAGGAAGTAAATGTAAGACAAATGGTAACCAGTCTCCAAAGCACTGCTATTAGCCACAATCTGTAGGCGGTGCATGGCGAGAAAAGTCTTTGGGCACTCGTCTCGTATGTTGGTAGTGGAAAATTAGGATTATCGTGTAAATACGCGTTGCATTGCATGCATCGACCCCATGAGGCAGTAGTCGAAAGTGTTTTGCTTGGCAGACGAATTGCACTTTGGTACAGTGCAACTGCAAATACGACGGAGGCAGCACATAGTGTGCTGCTTTGCCTGCTTGTCGTTCTTAGTTCCGAACGGTGTAGCTAAGCCTTACTTGACAATGCTAGTTTCTGATTTTCTCGCCAGACTTCACCTTTATTCACTAGTCTCTTATTCCTTTGATGGGCGCCATATGTCAGTTGTTCCAATAAACCATTTTAGCCTTTAATACTAACCTTTTGTCGCATCCATTTCCACCACTTTTGAAAATGAGGCTGAATATCCATTCGTAGGTCATAGTCATGCAATATTCGCGACAGCTCAGAAGGCGCGTGGGTGCGTCGTTTTGATACTCGCTTTGGGCCGTTTTAACCTTTTGCCCCTGATTTTGTTGCTGCTTTTTAAGAACCATTAAATTGGAACTCTCACTTGTGCATTAGTTCCCCGAAATATTCATTGAAGCTTATGCGAAGCCAGTGAACTGCGTCCCACAAAACCTAGAGTGTCAGATTACATTTGAGAGTGCACTTTTCGATTGCAGTGACTGGACAAACATTGATATGTTCAGTTTTCAGGGGTTGTAGGCCGAGGTAAATATACTTACGACCACGCTAAAGGTGTAGAGCTCAGAAATAACATTTCATACTAAAAACGTTTCTTGAGAAAGAAGGGACTCTGTGTGAGAGATAACTGTAGCTACACAATAGACTTGCTACGGCCGATGACACTGTGACGAAAAATATAATGGGTTCGTCTCCACTATGCTACTTACTCCTTAGTTAAAAAATTGGGGTGGTTACTGGAACCTAAAGCGGAACTTTTCAGGGATTTATGAGCTTGTCGGCAAAGGAAAAGGGCCATACCACCTATGAGTACAGAAGCATTGTTTATAAGAAATGCGTCCGTCCATCGGATTTTGTGCCCTTAAAATTATAAGACAGATGATGATCAAATTTCCCCGCTGAGTTGGGTAATATTTTTTCTGATATATGTCCGTTGTCTTTGGTGCGAGTGCATGACTTTGGGGCAGTTAAGCTTGACTCTGCAGTGCGTGAGGGGAACTGCACAGTGATGTGTTAAAACGATATGACCAAATGGGGGGATATCACGGTTAGTTGCTGAGCTAGGTAGGGCGGAAAAACTGTGACAAAGCTGATTTACCTCAACAGGACTGGCTTTCAACGAGCCAACCAGCGTTTATGGCTGAGCATCGGTGTTAATCCGTTAAGCGGTGATGAAGACTAGACCAGGCCTGTGAGTCCGGGTTGGATGGGAGAGTTATGACGGGTGGGCGAAAGTGATGTCTAGTTACCACAACCAAACAAACTGAACCCACGGTGGATAACGTCATGCATTCGTTCATTGATAATTCTCTTTTTGGGAGAAAATGAGCGTGCAACAACCTAAAAACGCTCAATAACCCACATTTTATAAGCGCAGAAAACTTCGTTGCTTCCGTCTCGACAGACAGAGAGCTTTCAAAAATCAATTTTGTAATTACTCTTCTCTTAGGAGACGCAATGAGTACGTAAACCCTTCTGACTTTTTGTATGACTAAGCAAAATACTTGTTACTCGCCTGACATTGCAGGCCACTGATCTTACGGAAAGGTGAAGGTCCTGGAGGGGACCGAAGCCGGAATATTGAAGCAACCGAGACAGAAAAACGAGGATGGAAAATCCAGCTGCCTTGGAAGAGGCCAACATTAGGCCTAAAACACAAGCTGACGTAACATGAAGTCACGGAATCCCAGCTTGGAGCCTGCTGCTTACGCTGTAAAACGCATTGAGCTTTATGAGCCTTTATCCTTATAATATACAATCAGGAAAGCGGGAACATCACCTGCCCCCTTACCCTCCAGCGTCATACCCAGTTCAGAAAATTGCTACTTGAAGCGGTCCGTTTGCATTGCTTATTTCTGATGAGTGCGTTCAGGATGTTGCTGGTAAAGAATTAATCCCGAACAATATCAGGTGTGACGACCGCTTCACCCGACGACATAATAAAGTCTCACAAAAACTGTGATCGGAAATTGCGTGATATCCCGTACAGATACAGCAACACCTTCATACTAAATCATAAAGGACCACCTGTTATTTGGAGTTCAGAGTTTAGTAATGCATGTTCAGCTCTGCCTCATTCTGTGTCCTATGCCTGAACAACCAAACCCAAACGACCTCTACTACAAAATCTGTGCTTCACGTCGGATAATACGTGCACGCCGGTTAATGGGCTGTTCTGTTTCAAGGGCTGTTTGTGATCGTCATTCTGCTTGAAAAGCCCAAGGATGTGAAGAAATTCACCTGAGTTCAGCGTTGCTGTAGAAGAACAAAATTTGAAAAGCTATTCCACACCCTTTAACTTGAAATGAGGTTTAATTAGCTCAAAGAAACGCACTTTCTGCTTCCAGGTTCGCTGATAGCAGGAGAAATTTGCGGTATTGCAATGAAACTAATACATCAGCTGTAGTTTAAAACCTTACCAACAAATAAACATTATGTCCTTGTTAGGTGCAACCACTCTAACGCAGTTTATTGGTTAATTTTACCTTGTCATAGATAGTCCTAATCGTGCAAGAAGAGGGCCTGAAACTCTCCATCCCGACAGTCCCAGTAGAATATCTGAGATTTCTTTTCGCAACATTAATCTTTGAGCAGAAAGTCAGCAGAAGGCATCGAAGAGGTCTCTTACACTCCCGTTTCCTAAGAAGAGTTTTGGTTTTTCAAAGCAGCCCTTGCCTTTCGGAGGAGGGCAACGAAGTGTGCACGCTGGAGCGCTCGGATTGGAAAACCCCCTGTGCAAAAAACAATACAAATATCGAAGAATGTGGATATTCCATCAGCTGTCATCGTTTTACCTTCGTATGTGTAGAGTATTTGTACCGTTGTTTATTTCAGAATGCCGACGCCATCCCCAGAGGTTCGGTTTACTTTCTGTACTCGTGAAGACACGTACGGTACACATGGGGGTTCCCAGATTGCATACAACAAAGGCATTCAAATGGATGTACTTTATTCGGATAGACACCGCAAAGTTTTACATAATTTTCAGCAAACTCGGTAATTACCGCAGTGAGTCGGCACTAGGGAATTCGACCCGGCCTCTGCATTTCGACCACCCACAACGATGCATTCTGGAACGTAAGAGAAGTTTTACATAATTTTCAACAAACTCGGTAATTACCGCAGTGAGTCGGAACTAGGGAATTCGACCCGGCCTCTGCATTCCGACTACCCACAACGATGCATTCTGGAACGTAAGAATTTATGGTGTTTACTTTCATATCATGTAGCTTCGTAAGGAAAGTTTTCGTGCGTGTGACGAGCTTATCCTTGTTTGCACAACAAGATTTTGCACTTCTTTAGCCGTTAACCAGCGGAACACTGCCAGCTTACTCAGCTGGGTTAGGAAAAATCAGCAGATATTGTCTTCCGTGTACAATGGTTGGACATAGCGTTGTGATCAGGTCATTCAACCTTATGCTTTGCCAGAAACCACCACCTTACACAAAGCCTCGCGCGAGGCAAGAGAAATTGGCCTGCATGGGTTAGTTTGACTCAAGCAATTTCGATGTTTGTGTCTGTTGTTGCATCAATCTAAAACCACTTGTCCTTTCCCTTGGCCATTGCAAAATCTGCTGTGCAAACCACCCGGACCGAATACTGTTTTTATTTATGCTTGGCCGTTTTTACGCTAACTGTAAGACCGCTCAGCTAGACTTTGCTTTGTCAACGCCTGGGTTTGCCTACAAATTTGTTCATCGCCCCCCGCCTCGCCTCCACATCCTGTGTAAAAGCGTTTGGCCTACTGTCTTCCGCTATTTTGACTAACCTGACGGTCATTTATTTTTGAATTGCTTTGTTTTATGTAACGGACTGGGATATAATTACGAGATGAACCTATCTTTCAATTACACTTTCGTTAACAAACGATTTACCTGGATCGATTTGAGACCTCTTATAACCCATGCTACCGAAGGGCCACCTCGTATTTTGACTGGTACTGTGTTTGACATATTGTGCTACATTTTTTGCTTGGCAAAAAAATCTACTCAAAATGTGCGTAAATGTTTAACAGTTTACTGCCGGTTTAAATTTCTCAAAGCTCAGCAAATGAGCGCGGTTTTAGCACTTCCATCAGACTTGTATCTTACCCCTCTACCAAACTGTATACAAGGGGTACGCTTCACTTACCAATAAACTGCATTAATGCTAGCAGGAGATACAGGACGCTCATATACTGAGCTTGTGGGAGGATGAGACTGCCAATGGACCATCAAGAAGTTTTCATCCACCTTATTTCTTAAAATGCCTTGATGTTTTCCGATATCTGCAATATTTCAACTATATTCGCTTAATCACGCTTTTTAACCAATTAGTCGTGCACAAGCCCCATTTTTCCCGGTGACAAGATCAACGCGTGGGGCAATAGTTTGTCATACAAATCCAAGCTTGCCAAAATATTTCTCCATAGTCAAGTTGTTATTTTTCAGTGCCACGCCTCAGTTTCAGAAGGCCACACCGAGTTAGGAAGGTGCATGCCCGGATAGTTTGTCATACAAATCCAAGTTTGCCAAAATATTTCTCCATAGTCAAGTTGTTATTTTTCAGTGCCACGCCTCAGTTTCAGAAGGCCACACCGAGTTAGGAAGGTGCATGCCCGCATGTCGTGTTTACGTAGATGTAATCATTCACAGCATTACGTTGTTCGACAATAACCAATAATTAGTCATCAACACGGCAGAGTCTGCTTTAAACATTTTGTAGTCCCTTCGCAACCGAGTGAGAATTTCTTGCTGCCAGCGGTGCGTTACTTCATGCTTAACTCGAAAAACACTGGCCGGCATGGCTAGTTTTAATGAAGGATGATCAGTCGTATTGGTTATTAAACTTAGAATTGCAGGAAAGCCGCAAATTTATTTAGTTCACGTTTTCTGCCGTAAAACGGTAAAAATAGAAGAGAATCTTTGGTGCCCAGCCAAACAAAACTACGATCATCTGTAACACTTGAGTTAGCTGTGTGATATCAAACGGTACACACACGCAAAAGTTTAGGTACCGCAGAAAATCGAAATGGCTGCCCAGCTCTTCGCCCTTGAGGTTTCGTTACGCGCCTACTCATAACCATAAAAATGCTATCTAGCCGCATTAATTTTAGGCTGGTTAAAATTGTTACATTTTGGGTTTAACGCTTTTTTTATATCGTGCCAAACCTCATTCAGTAAATCATATCTGAGAGAACCGTGAGCTATCAGAGTCACTGGTGAACAAATGAAAGAGCTATATTTCAAGCTTCCAAATTAATCCTCCTCTTGCCCGAAAGTGCACCAAAATATTACTTAAACTCAGCTCTTAGAACCTCAAACCGATGGTGAATGGTCGGCCTGTGGTTGATCCTCCGAACTATCTGAAACCACGAGACCAGTATGCAACACGTATCTGAAAGTCAAATGACTTGCAATGCGGTGGGTGGCACTCGGCAAGCAACTAACAACTGACTCATATTCACAAGTGAGAACCTAGGCTAAAGCTACTACTAGACTTCAAACAGTCTACGGCCGCTGGTCAACAAATTTCGAAGAAATCGATCCATCAGTTGGGTTGGCACCGGCGCTGTGTGTGCAATTTACAGCTCTACCACTGAAAATTTCTAAAACCGCCAGGGAGTGAAGTTACGCTGTGTAAGCACTCATTCAATGGAAGAAGTTCACACGGCGCCTTTCGATCAGCATTCTCACGGTTGAGAGTGTGGACAGATCTGACTCACCTTCCCAACATACCAAAATATAACGACAATAATTATATGGGAAACGCTCTGAAAGCTTGTTCTTTTTGGTGTAGAACAATTTAAAATTTTGGCTAAACATGCATCAGGATGATTTTTAGTCGTTAGGGCTAACAGAGGGAGTAAAATATCTTATCAACACAAATGTCGAGAAGATCAACACTTCGAATAACGAGAGAGTAGTCTAGTAGTAGGGGCCTCTTGTTACTTCCCTGATGATGTACAGGCGGCAGTGTACGTGTTCTGTAATAGTCGTGCCACAAATGTTATGCTTTTGTCTACAAAAATTCTAACGAGATTCTCCTGATTGTTAAAAGTTGTGTTTGAGCAGAATGTACAACTTAACTTTTCTTGAGATTTGGGGCTTGGTGCTCTTTGCCCTTAGAAAGACAATTGCATTTTCATGTGCGAATGAAACACGGGTACACTGCCAATGAAGATGGGCAGCAGCGGGCAGGTCAAAGTACTCTCGACCGGACGAACCGGGTACCAGTGTGATTGCTCTGGTACAACTTGTGGGCTGTTTTTCTGTGAGCCTCGGCAGCGCGCCCCTGGCTCAAACTACTTTTCGATCACAAAACTTATGATCGAGTTTTAAAATGCTCAGCGCTTTGCCGTCTCGTCAGTGGTCACAGCTGTGGTCAGATCGGCCAACTTTCAGCAAAATTTTCACAATATATCGTCAAAAATGACCATCTTTGCCTGATTTTCGTCTGCATGGATTAATGGAACGACTGAAAAATATCTCTACCAGTCAAAACCAGCTTACCAGTCAGTATTGCTCAGAGCCTTAAACGCTTATGTATGCCAGCGTTTAGATGCAATTGTAAGCCCTGACTGTCTTCTTCCACCCCAGACCCATGTGAACACAGTCGACCCAGTGAACGTATTGCCTGGTGCGTACCTCAAGCTTTGAATTTAGTGCCACTTGTAATCGGAACGTAGCCCAGCTAAAGAAAGATCACTGAATGCGAAGTGGCTGTATGTTTGCCATTTATTGCCAGCGCGTTGGCGAATAGATTGGTATGGTGAGCTCCACGTCCCTATGTCATTCACGTTACACATAAGATTAGTAATAGGTGGCAACTTATGAGATGTGCACAAAATTTGGGTGATGAGCGGTCCTATTGGGGCATCTCGTGAGGAAAGAAAAACGCCATTCAGGGTCAGTAACGATTCACTAACATTTCAAGTCATCCGGCCTCATCATTGAACTAGTCATACCTTGTCCCTCATTGTTGTTTTCTTCGGTTAATAATAATAATAATAATGTTTACTCCCAACTTGTGGGTGGCATACCGTCTGGCATGATCATGCGTTTACAGCCAGACTGGTGCACCACTGGGGAATTTGCGGGTAGTGGAGATTGCGCGAAAAGAGGGCAATTTCATAAACAGTGGGGATTAAATGATAATAATTGGTTTCTTTCGCAAATTGCAAGGAACAATATTCATGAGGTTCGACTGGTTCAAAGACTCAGTCGGCTGACATGAACCAAAACTGAAAAACCATTGCTGGCCATGAGTGGCCTTGGGCGGTTGGGTAAATGGCCGGAGTCACAACGAGCAAAAGTGGAGATGGAGATGGGGTAATTCGAACTGGGAGAACATGGCAAGTTTAGCCTCAAAAATATGGTGCAATCTGGGAACAAGCGAACTCACTGGTTGCACTGTTGTGGAGAAGTTAGGTGAAGGGGCTAGGTTGGACGGGGACACAGAGGTGGTTGAATTCTAACAAGTGGTCCGACACTTTGGAATGAATGTCATGGAGGTAGTTGGGATCGATGAAACGAGTAGACAAAAGGGCTAGATTGGGAGGAGGAATGGAACAGCTGCAAGTGTGCTATTAAACTGAGTATGGCAATGCCGTGCCATCATTGGCCTGACATGGTTCAGTTTTTGGACAGCCCCGTGACGGACGTCATATTTGAGATGATTCGGCCGGAGTGTGCAGTTCATGGAGCAGCGGTATTTATTTTAGCCTGGTCGAGAAAACAAGCTGGAGCGAAAC